AGCCCAGCACTCACCTCCTCGCTCGGCTCCAGCGGCGGCTCCGGCCCGGGCAGGCTTACGAGCACGGCCCACAGCACCCGCGCTGCAGGCGGCGCCTCCCGGAGGCTATAAGCGAGGGGAGGCGGCGCCCGCAGCGGGACCAGCGCCAGCGCCGGGGTCGTTGCCGCGCTTTGCTCCAGCCCCAGCTCCGCTTCCCGCGCAGCTCCCGGGCGCGGCCGGGCTCAGCCGCGGGTCGTGCTCCCGTCCGCCCTTGTGCTGCCAGCGCCTCTCGTCTCCCGGCGCCCCCAAAACACCTTGTGTTCGGCTTGAGTCCAGGTGCAGAAATGACGGGCAGGGAAGCACTGGGGGCCCGGCCAGGACACGCAAGGGGCTCGGTTTTGTTTGATGAGGTGTGCTCATGCTCCTGCTCGGAGCAAAGCTAGAGGTCCCTGGCATGGGGGGGTCTTGCCCCTCCACTCTGTGGCAGACCGACTGCCAAATTTGGGGTCAGGAAGGAACTTTTTATCCTACCATGGTCAGATTGGTATGGACTGCAGAGGTTTTTGCCTTCTTCTATAGCTGGCTGCTGTAAATGGTCAAGACAGTGTAGGAGACTGGATCTTACATGCAATAATTGGCAATGCAGCAGGGAGCTTTGGGTTGTTGCTAGACCTGAATGGTATAATACTGAGGGGATGTCTAAAGGACAGAGCCACTTGGCTTATTCTGCCTGCTCCAGAGCTAACTGAGGGGAGTCAGCAGCGGCAACCTTCCCAAAGCTACTCCACAGCCCAGGCAGAGCGAGCCCTGCCCTGCTGCCTCTCCTCAACATTTATCTCTGCCCTGCCCCATTGTGGGCCTGACCTGATGATGAGTAGGGCTGGGGGGAAGTCGGGTGGCTGATGGACACATCTGGGACTCTGAACACACAAGAAATTAAGTTCTTTTGTTTTTAATTGTGGTGGAGGTTTGTAATTGCTTAAAGTTCGTTTATCGTTGGGAAAATGTCACCTTTGCTGTGGGTCCAAAAGAACAATTCCCCTTCCCCCCCCCAAAGCAATGTGGACAATGACAGTATATAAAAGTTTATTAATTGGGAGAACACTACAAAATACCTCAACTATTCAACATCTCCAAAATACCGAATGACACTACAAGCAACAGAAGAAAATCCCCAAATAAAAAAGTATTGCAAACAGGAGACCCTCTCAGTCTTTGGATAGCTAGCCTCTCCTTGAGAACTTTCCTCACCCAGGAGTTTATCATCCAGGCCAGGAAGAAGAAGGGAAGGAGAGTCTATGCTCAGTTCCATGGGCAAGACGTGTACCTGTTGGCATCTGCTTGGGATTGTTGCCAGACCATGCTGCAGCAGGCTTGGGGTGCCCCTCCTCATGCTGCCCCTTGGCTCACTGCCTCTGCTGCATCTCTGGGGACTGCCACAGCACAGGGAGTGCCACAGCTTTACTACTTCCCACTGTCAGGTTCAGCCTGCTGCTCTGGCAGCACTGCTGGGGTCAGCTTAGATGTGCTGCTTGCTGCAGGGGGTCACTGCTGAGGCCGCCCCTCCATTTGGAGGTTTTGCTGAGACTACTCGCCTTGGCTCTCACCAGTGAGGGCCCCATGGCCACTGCAGGAATGCCCTCAAAGAGGGACTCCACTATGGGGTCCCCTTGGACTCTCCATTCACAGCCCTGAAGCTTTTCTTCCTTGGCCACTCAGGGGACCCTCACCCCTCCCAACTGGCATGGGACCATCTCCCCTGCATGCCCCATAAGGACGGGCATCTCCGCAGTGGAACAGAGCTCTAGTACCAGACCATGTGATCACAGTCTTTTCTATAAAAGTAGGGTTACATGTGACTGAGGTGCAAGTATGTGAGATGAGTGTGAGGAGAACAGGACTGAATGGGTGGAAGAGCCTCTGGACTGATGTTTTCACTCAGCTGACTCAACTCAACTTATACTTGCAAGGGCCGGCATTAGCAACATTCAGGGTACATGGTAAGATCTAGTGCTGTACCAAGGGGGCGTGGGAGAGGGGATAGCAGGGCAACCGCCCCGGGCACTGAAGTGAAGGGGCACCAACAAGTGCTGCCCAACCGGGGGTGGGATGTGAGACAGTCATGAGCAGCTCGTTTGGGGGGGCCTGGAGAGGGAGGAAAGGCAGCTCCTGCCACTGCATGCACTCGTGGGTAAGCATGCAGGGGCGTGTGCCCCCTGCGTCTGCACAGGGCAAGGGCGGGCTGCTGTTGCGGGCTTTGCCTCGGGTGCCAAACTTTTTTGCTACAGCACTGGCAGGATCCAAGGTATACTAACAGAGGCTGATCTTGCAAGCACAACAAAAGGTATTTTTCATAGTCTTTCATTCCCTTAATTTAGCTGAATTTTGTTTTGGAGCCACTCACTTGTTTTCTGACTTCTTATCTTTAGGATGATAATCCTGGATTCTCAAGAGCGGTGAATATTTGCTACTTCCTGTTTAGCTTTGTTAAAAGTCAGTCTTGAGTATCTCACTTAGACACCTAGACACTTAGCCATCAAACTTCCAAAATGTCTGTGCTTTAGTGTCTACTACTCTCAACAGTAAAATAGGATTAGTACCATTTCCTTACCTAGCTGAGATACTAACAAAAATAAATGCATTAAATGCCAGTGAGGAGACTGTCTTTGTAATGATGAATGAGACAATAGTAATTAAACCATACTGAGAGCATTAAACTTTTATGCAGAACGGTTTTATAATGGACGTAAAAGACCTGAATTCTGTTTCTAGCTCTGCCAAAGATTTCATGCAGGACACGATGAACTGACTTAATCTGTTTCTCAGTTTTGTTAAACTGGGTATTGCTAACTGCCTCAGTATTTGTGAAACACTGTACAAATGTCAGATGAAGCTTATTGCATAAAAGGAAAGTGCTGCAGTTACAATGGATGGCATATTTCAAGACAGATAATGAGCATGTGTTATTTGAATTTCAAAAGAAGTTAGGAGCCATTTCAGGCTCCATCACAAGTTAGACATGCTTCTAGGGACGTTATGCTAATTCCTATATTTTAAAACAAGTTCTACCAGTTGGTGATGATCAAAACAAATTGTACCTAAAGCTGTAGTAGCTACCTCCACCAGAAAACACTCTACATGGAAATGATGATACTGATAATTCTTTAATGAGTCTTCCTGACAATCCCAGTGAGTCTATACTTTCCTCACTCCTGGGATGGAGGTTGAGGCTGGGGCAGCAGGACTCTAAGTAATCTCATATCGATCCCCGCTATCCTTGGTGGATAACTATTAGGTGCAACTTCCTCCCCTACTCCAGTTGCCATTTTCTTTGCCACCATATTTCCCTTTGCCAATTGCTGCTGGCAACAACCAGGATAAGGGCAAAAATTCAGTGACCGGGGTTAGTTGAGGTGGCAGTGGCTGCAGCAGGGGTGTGCAAAAGGGTCTTTATACCTGTTAACACCTACAGCTCCCCTTGCCAATACTTCTCCCCTCACAGATGTGACTTTTACCCAAGTTTTGGGGGTAAGAGGCCGACTCCTGCTGAATGCTGGCCACATCACCCACCCCCACCCCTACAGGACATTTGGCTTAGGATGTAAACCTTACCAGTTGTGTTTCTGCAACAGCCCCTGTGTTTAACATAATTAAAGCCAAATGTCCCACCTAGACAGAATTAGTTTACATTCTTCAGCATTACAGAGGTTTTCCTGGATTTCTCCAGGAAAGATTGTTCTAGGAAGAAAATTGTTCTAGGTAAAACAGATCCCCATTTAGATGGAAGGGCAGCAATGCTGAACAGAGCTGACTTTTAAGAAATGTGACCATTTTTCATATTTTCTGTGTAAACAGTAGTTGTAACATTTCCATAAGAAAAAGTATGTTAACTTTTCTGGGATCAGGCTGCTTTCTACAACTGGTTCGTCAGAGTGAAGCTCTTCTCTCCTCTGCCTATTCCTAGCCATGCCCCTTCCTGTTGTTAAGGAATATAATAATTATTGTGAAAGTTATATAAAGTATGAACCATCAGCAATACACATGCAATAGCATGCCCACTCCCTTGCTCAACAAAAATCAAGGCAAAGGGCCTACTTCATAAAAGGAATCAAGTACGTTAATGCAAAAAGTTACCACACACCTATTGTTTAGCCACCCACATCCTGGAGTAGAATTCACATTAGAATCCCTATGCAATATATTGAACCACTGAATAGCAAATCCTAAATTCCTCATAACAGCTAGTATGCTGAGCAGGAGGTGGCCTACAGCCAGGTGTGGTGTCATTCTCTTCCTGGTGCGGGGAGGATGAGGTGGGCTAGACAGAAAAATGAGTGGGGGCTGTGCTATACATCTTCCGGCCAAACATACTTATTTGGCTGGGCCAGGAGCACTGCACCTCTGTGGGCGGGAGCAGTGTGGGCTCAGCTGCATGGGGTGGGAGGCAAAGGCTCAGAGGGAGGAGGCAGGGAGCCGGGAGGGGTGGCTACCGGGGGGGTGGGTAAGGCAAATTTTGGGGTGGCTATAGCCCCTCCAAGCCCCCCCCAATGCCACCTGTGCCTGTAGCACCAAGGTGGGCACCTTTGCAAGAGTGGGGTTTGCAGACAAACCTCCTGAGCTTTGAATATGTTCGCCTTTGGTAACAATGGCAGTGACACCAGTGACATTATTGCTGCTACATCCCAGAGTAAAAAAACAAACTGACCCGGGGAAGGCTTAAAACAGCCCAAGGCTTCTCTCATGACCACTTACAGAGTGCCTACAAAAGTTAAATCAAGCCCAGGATGACAGGTCCCTCGGTCAATTACCTGCAACAAATGCAGAAGTTCAGCTCTAGGAGATGCTTGCAGGCTCTAGCTGGGCAGGACTCAGGCCCTGGCTGGTTGTCAGTGCCACTGAAAAACAGCA